CCCTTCAGTCTCCATTAGGAGAGTCACCAACTCCGCCCCTGCACTTCCAGCACAGGTCAGATGACACTCTGAGCTAACATCCGGTGCTCAGTACAGAGAATAGGCTCCACCTTTTCTCCAACAGTACATCTGCAAAACATAACATCCTGTTTTGCATTCCAGCCATCTGGAGCTGGCTTTTGCCTTGGTGCTTTTTCCTGACAGGCAATGATGTTTCACATCACCACGTTAGCTCACAAAGCATGATCCAGTAATAGCATGGGGGCAGCGTTCTTTAACGTTTGATTCAGCTTACTGCCAAGCACACTGCCTAGGGTTCGAAGTGCCAATAGAGGTAGGAGCCAAGAGGGCAGAGGTAGGGGGGGAAACTCATGGGGTAGGAGAGCTCCATAACCACACAGTATAAGGCCTATAGGGATGTGTTCTGTGAAAAGGAGGCAGATAGGTTACCCACCCCACAGACCTTATGATTGCAAAATAGACTTGGTGCTTGGTGCCAACCAGTCATCTATATTCCATGTCGGAAGCAGAATTAGCCAACTTGCGGGAGTTTCTGAAGAAGAACTTGGAACGTGAGTTTATTAGGCTGTCATGAGCACCTGGTGGGTCACCAGTGTTCTTTGTGAGCAAGAAAGACACCCCAGAAAGACGTCTCGTGGTGGACTACAGAAAAACCAACAAACTCATGATTCCTAGTCAATACCCCTTGCCACATATTGGTGACCTGCTGGAGAGGTTACGGTCGGTGAAATTTTTTACTCAGCTGGACCTGAGGGGGGCATCTGAACCAGAGGCAAATTAGATTGGCAAAGTTTTTTTGCTCTTTTCGATTTCAGAATCTAATACATGCCAGGGCACCAGAACCAGAGGGTGGACGTTCTGTCCCGGAAGCTGGAGTATCTGGAGGGGGAGTCAGACACCGGGCTGAGGCATATTCTGAAACCGGAACAGTTACAGCTGGTGGCAGCACCCGTAGTTGAAACCGCAGACTTCAAGAGACAGATGGAAGTGGATCGAATAATACTCTTCCAATCCTGTATGATGACATTATCTCCCCCCCAAAAAATCCAACCATTCTTCCATGTTTAAAAACAATAAATCTGTTAAAGGTGATTGATTTATTGCTCAGATAAATCTTGGCGTCCAGCCCGCTTCGGCTGTGCAGACCCTCGCCCGGCCTCGGACTTCAAAGGCCACATTCCGATGCTCTGAGCAAAACGCAGAGATCAGCAGCGGTAAGAGAAAGCTGTAAGCTTCAGTACTTTCTTCAGTGTGCTAAATAAAGTCCACTCAGGATCTTAGCAGCTAAAAGCAGTTTTATTTAAAGCAGACTATCCATTGTCGAACAGCATCGTGAAAACACGTCCACTCTCCTCAAAAGCGAAAGTAGAGAGAACAAAGACTTGAGAGACTCGGAAATGATGCAGAGTCTCCCCCCTCCCAACAGTAGGCAGGGCGTACACTCTGAGCTGTTTAACCCTGTAAGCTCAGGTTCTCCTCACACCCCCTCTCGTCCTGCGTTACTGTGGGGAAAGTATGTACAGAACTTACCCCCAACTCCAAACCATCACAAAACTCCCCATGACGCTGGAAGCTTAAAGGTTTGGTAAATCCATCGGCCAAGTTATTGTGACTGGCACAATACTTCAGCCGTATCAAACCTGACTGAACACTCTGACACACATTTTGGAAACGTATGTCCAGATGCTTGGTTCTGGCCTTAAATTGCGCAGATTCAGCCAATTTCAAACAAGGTTGATTGTATTCCCAAACCGTGATGGGCAAGCTACAATCCCCATAGATCTCTTGCACCAAGCATCTATAGAACTCTAGTTCCCGGCACAAATCTGACAGTGCACTGAATTCAGCTTCAGTAGAAGACAGCGCAATGAGACTTTGCTTCCGAGACTTCCACCCAATTAGTGACTTCCCAAACTTTACCACCAATCCAGACACAGACTTGCGGTCCTGCGAATTCGCCCAGTCACTGTCCGCATAGCATGTGAGCTTCGCCTCACCTTCAGCTGGCAGCTTAAGACAGAAGTCTTTGGTATGCTGCAGGTAGCGCAGTACCCGCTTGATACCGTGCCAAGCACTCACACTGGGCTTTGACGCTTCCCTACTTAGCAGGTTGGTAGCAAAGGCAATGTCTGGTCTGCTCCATTGGGATAGATACAACAGACTACCTAGAGCTGACTGAAAGAGCTCAGCATTCTCGAACTCTGCACTTTCTGCTTGCTGGCTCTCTTTCACGAAGTTCGTCTCCATGGGTGTCCGAACTCCTGCACAATCGGACATTCTGAACTTCTCAAGCAACTGCTCAATCTTGCCTTTCTGACTGAGCAAGAAGCTACCATCCTCAGTTCTCGCTATCTGGACACCTAGGTAGATCTTTACTGCACCCAGGTTCTTGAGCTGAAATCGTTTCCCAAGCTCTTTGGCAAACTTCTGCACCTGTTTGTCTGCCTTTCCAATATGGATGATGTCATCAACATAAAACAAAACCAGTTCCTGTGAGTCTCCTGATCCTCTAAGGAACAGGCAACTGTCAGCAAGACTCTTCCTGAAACCTAGCTTCTCCAAAGCTTCATTCAGGCACAAGTTCCAATTCCTGGCCGACTGCTTCAGGCCATAAATTGACCTGTGAAGTTTCCACACAGTACCTTGCTCATTGCCCTCAAACCCTGGAGGAGGAAGCATGTACAGATCCTCCTGGAGGTCTGAGTTCAAGTAAGCAACATCCACATCAAAGTGATGCACCAGCAACCCTCTTTGTGCAGCAATGGCCAAGAGCAAACGTAGAGATTCACTCCTACAGGTGGGAGCATAAACTTCCGTATAATGCAACCCCCTGCGCTGCGTGAATCCTCTCGCCACTAATCTGGCCTTATACTGCGGTTCTCCTGTCGCTGTGGGCTTAAGACGGTAAACCCAGCGGCTACCCACGGCCTTTTTGCCCACCGGCAACTTCGTGAGGGAGAACACACCTAGCGACTCCATTGAGTTCATTTCCTTCTGCATCGCCTTATGCCATTTTCTGGCTTCTTCCTGAGGCAGTTTCTGAACATCCTCAAAACTCTCGGGTTCACACTGTGCCATTCCGACCCACACGCTAGTGACGGCAAACCTATCAGGAGGTTTCCCCTTGGTCATCCGAGCTGATCGATGCAGCACTACTTCAGGAACCCCCTCTGACTCACTAGGGCCAGCCAGAACGTCCTTGCCATCAGAGAGCTCCCCCTCTGACTTACTGCGCCTTCTGGACTTCTCAGCCGAACCTGTGGGGGAAGATGGAGCACTGCGTTGCTCAATCTTCACAGCCTTGGGAGAAGTTCTCCCCTCTGCCTGTACTGGGTCTGGACTCTGAGCCTCAGTAGCAGGTTCAACCTCTTCCTCTTCTTCATCAGCAGAGTCAAGCAGACTCTCTGACAGGATGTCAGGGTTCCCACGTATCCTTGCCCAGCCACTCTGCTCACAGAATTCAGCACTGTTGCTGAGCAGAATCCTGGACTGATTCCCTGATGGATACGCAAACCTCCACCCCTTGGTCCCTGGCTCATACCCACAAAAAATCATCTTTTGGGACTTGGGTTCACCTTTCTTGCGTTTGGCTTTTGGTATGAGAACCCACGCTTCACATCCGAAAACGCGAAAGTAGTGCACTTTCGGTTGCTTTCCATGCAGCAAGAAGTACGGTGTGTCACCTACCACTGAATTGAACGACCTGTTCAGAACAAAGTTGGCCGTTCGCCAAGCCTCCCCCCAAAAGCGCTGTGGGAGCCCAGCATCAAACAAAAGAGCTGCGGACATCTCCCTAGAGTCCTGTTCCGTCTTTCCGCAATCCCATTCTGTTGGGGACTGTGCGGAGAAGTCAACCTGTGTTGAATCCCCTTTTTGCGGAAGAAACTTTGCAGTGCAGACCCGGTGAACTCCCCACCGCGGTCGCTCTGAAAGTTTTGCACCCGTGTGGAAAACTGCAGTTCCACAGCCGCAATCCAGTCTTTGATTAGCGGTGCAGCTTCATTTTTGTGTCGGATTGTGAAGGTCCAGGAGTTGCGCGTATGGTCATCAATCAGAACCAGCGCAAATTTGGCTCCTCCCATACTGGTCACAGACATCGGACCAGACAAATCTGCATGAATTAACTGAAAAGCCCTAGTGGTCACCCTCTCAGACCTAGGGTATGTGCACGTTTTCACCTTTGCGGACTTGCACGCTCTGCAATCTAGAAACTTAGCACATGATTTCATTTTGCACCCTTGCGTACACTCTGGGATCTTTTCCACTAACCCCCAGGACACGTGTGCCATGCGTCTGTGCCAGAGGTGAGCACACGCATCATGAACTGGAACGTTGGCACACTGTGCTTGAGCCTCCTCCGTGTCACCTGGACCTGCAAAAGAAGCATTCAATACAAACAACCTGTCTTTACATTCAACACTGACTAGGTGCTGTCCATTCTTAGAAATAGAGCACTTATTGTCTTCAAAACACACTCTGTAGTTCTCAGCAAGAAGGGCGCTGACAGACAGCAACGCGCAGGACAGTCCTGGAACAACAAAAGCTTGGATTGAATCCTGTAAGAATTTTTATTTTATTTTTTATTTATTTTTATTTTAACAGGAAACTCTCCTCTGTAGTCTTTTATTTTAAAATAATCTGTAGTTATTTACTTGTATATTCGTTATTTTACACCCAGTTGTATATCTTGCGATCGCATTTCCTGTAGGGAAATCTAGCAAGAGAAAAAGAAAAGAACTTCCATTTCTACCACTTCCATTCTTTTCCCAATAGCATTACCAGAAGCTTGATAGATTTTCCCTCTAAATTCTCTCCAATTTGTACCCAGAATCCTTTCTGCATCATCTTGTAATTCTTTGCTTTAGAGAGACTAAGCAGCTCTTACAAGCAAGGATATGAACTTCAGTAAACATTGTTCTGAGGTGGCAACTTTTTACATTGATTTCTGTAAGTAATAATTTCTCATTGATTTTCCATAGGTATTGTATTATCAAATGGTCACACCTGGAGGCAACAGAGATGCTTTGGTGTAGTTACTATGCGGAAGCTGGGACTGGGGAAGAAAGGCATGGAGCACCAAATAGCAGAGGAGGCTCATCAGCTCGTGGAGGTTTTTGCACGTTCAAAGGGTATGTGATGCTAAGTGATGGTGCTGAGCTGGCGTATGAAGATTTATTTGTGTGGTACCTCTGTCCGTTTTAGAAAGGAATGTGATATGTTTTTCTTGATTCCTAAAGGAGATCCCAGCAGTTTCTCTTGGCCACCATAAAATCCCACTCTCAGTATTAACAGGAGCAGCTGAACTAACATTAGTATAATTTTATTTTGCAGGACAGCCACTTGACCCCTCCATGCCCATCGCTAATTCATTCTCCAACGTGATATGTGCTGTGGTTTTTGGGCACCGGTTTGCTCTTGAAGATGAACGGTTCCAGAAGCTGATAGAAGCCATTGATTTTGTCCTAAAAAATTTATCTAGCGTTGTTCATAGTGTGAGTAGTCATTTTCATTTCTACTATGCCAAAGAGGTCTTCCTAAATACAACAAATCAGTATTTTGAAATAAGGGCCACTTACTGTCTCACAGCCTGATCAATTTCTCATGATTACCATTGCGATTTTTTTTTAAAAGGAGTAGGAAGAATTTGTCCACTACAGAAGACTCTTTGGAGGAAAGATGGGATAAAAATGGAACAATGGCCTTCAGAACAGGTTATCAAGAGCCCACCAAAGGGGACAGAGGTGAACAAAATAATCTTCTCAAGAAGGGAATTACATAGTTTTGTTGCCATCATTGAAAACTAAATGTATCTGCTCTCTAGCCACTTAGCAATGACAATGATGATGGCGTCCATGGTGAGGCCCCTGCAGCCAGCCTTGGCTGGAATTTTTTAAACGTAAGAGAGACCTGCAACTCAAGCACTGTCCCTACTGCTAAGGAAAGCAGCTCCCTTCTGTATGACCCAACTAAACCCTTTTTGCCAAACTTAAGTTCGGTTCCCCACATTTGTACATACATTCCGGATCTTTAAAAAAAGGGACTCATGAAACTTCATCAGCATTTTTCTGTTAATTTATCCTAATGCACACATTTGTTTGCAATTTTACCCGATATACACATTTCTGCAAAACAGTATATTGTAGGACTGTATATCATTTGCATTTCCATTTTTGTAAGCATCACTTGACTGGCAAACTACAGGCAAATTTATATCAGCGTTCAGGGCGCATTTTGCAAAAAGGAATTTTATTACTGTGAGCAGCTTCTGAGCTCTGGGCACAGTACTAAGCCTAAAATTTCAGATTAAAACTGAAGAATGGAAGGAAAGGAGGACCTTTTTCTGCCTCCTCACTTCCAGCTTTCATATCTCAGTTTTTAACATTGCTTTATATTAGTCCAATTTTTATTTTCTAGCTCCTTATGTATTCAGAAAATGTAAGTAATTGATCTTGAATGAGAAAACAAGGAAGGAGAAAAAACATTCTTCTTCAAGGTTTAGTTTTTTGTGATGAAATATCAGAATTACTTGACTGGCAAACTGGAAGATTTAATAAATACAACTAAAAATTTAAAAAATGGAGAAGTGTACATTTTGAATGATGGCTGTCTTTCCATTTGTGTATCAGGCAAATTTGCTTTTAAATGTGAACTTACTTGAATTCCCCCCACACCCACCTACCATAAAAGGCCACTAACTTGTTCCAGGAGGGGTCCCCTGATTGTGCCCAGTTTTGGAATGATGCCTGGGAACTGGGAAAATATTGTGAGCCATAGTTTTCTTTTACATTTTCAGCTAGGGATAATTCACAGAATCCAATCATTGTGAGATTCCAGAAAAGCGATAGACACCTTCCTTCTTCTTAGTGAGAAACTAATATGCTAGCCCTGAAGAATAATGCAGATCCAAAGCACAAACGGTGTGACCAAGCTTCCTCATGGTAATGGCAGCATTTCTGCTATCTTTCATTTAGCTTTGTGAAATTCTCCCATGGCTCATGAAACATCTCCCAGGGCCCCACAAGAAGGCCTTGTCCTGCATGGAGATGGTGCTTTCATTTGCAAAGGAGGAGATAGAAAAGCATAAGGAGAATCAGTCTCTGCATAATCCACAGGATCTCATTGATTTCTATCTACTTCAGATGGAGAAAGTAAGTATCTGTTTTGAAGCTGAATACTGCTCATCCAAGGAATCATTATATTCCCTCTTATAAGTGAATACTAATCTCTTGCCTGGAAACCAGCATCTTTTTTCCTGAATCTCAGTTGAAAATGGCATTGAGTTCCCACCAAATATTTCTCATAGTCAATTTAGTTGCTAAAGTGAGTTGACATCCATCCATTAGCATTGTTAAAAATGTGAGTGGAAAGAAGTGGAAACCTAAGTGTGTTAAGGGGTCTTGCCTATGGAGCATTCCCTTTCTACATAAATTTCTTTGGATTGATGTTCATCTGACATTCAAATGTGGAGTGAGAAAACAGAAAATCCTAAACAAAATGCTCTTAAACTAGAGTATGACCTCATCTATCTTCATATACTAGAAAGGACAAATGTAAATTCATCGTCCACTCTCTGAACAATGATTATCATGATGACAAATGAATGGTGAAATATGTTGAGTGTTAAATGCCATATTTCAGCATAATTGTCACATTTTTATGCCAATTACTTCTTTCAAAAAAAGGGGGGTGCGACGATTATTTGGTGAAAAACCAAGGCACGACCCTTATGTGAGGAAAGTGTTTTTATTTACAAACAGAGTCCACCTATGATGAAGAAAACTTGGCCCAGTGCATTTTTGACCTCTTTGGAGCAGGGACAGAGACAACCACCGGTTCTCTGAAATGGGCACTTGTGGATCGAGGGCCCGACCCCCGCTATGTGAAATAAATACACAAGGACACGTGATATAAGGTTAATGGGCAAGGAAAGGCCACAACTTTATTGATTACAGCAGTGAAAAGGTATTGGCTTAGGCATTGGATGACTATAGGAGGTGGGTTTATTCAACAGTAGGTGGAGCCTGTTGATGCCAATCCAACTATAGGCTCGCCCCCTGATGTCACCGAGGGTCGTGCCATGGCCTCCCGCCAAGCAGGCATCGGACGGAATACACGACCGCCAGATTCCTTTAACGGAATAACCCACGGTAGATAGCATAGGCGATGGCCACACCTAGCCCTTGACACAGCACAACACATGAATCCAATGCCTAACCTACCCACCAATACCCAAAAAGTTGTGACGATTGCTACGAGGTAGGCGAAAAAACCAAAAAGCCTAATGCCAAATGGAAAAATTCCTACCAGGCCCCCAGACAACCGGGGCGACCAACCTAAGGTCCATAGCAAGGCCAAAAACCTAGACCCTGAGCTAAATGGGAGTGGAGGGTGGGTGACTTGCTGAGGGACGACGACGAATGAGGAGGAGGCGGAGCTGGCGTCACAGCATTAAGCTGCTACACACGCCCCCCTGAGGCACCTGGTTGGCTGCCTCCAGTGGGCGTGGGCGCCAGCCAGGTAAGGAGGGGAGGGGGCTAAGGCCCCCTACCAGGGGCGGAGCTCGGTCTCCCGCCCACAACCACTCCCCTCTCTTCCAGGGAGGAGAGTCTTTGTGGATCGAGGGCCCGACCCTCGCTATGTGAAATAAATACACAAGGACACGTGATATAAGGTTAATGGGCAAGGAAAGGCCACAACTTTATTGATTACAGCAGTGAAAAGGTATTGGCTTAGGCATTGGATGACTATAGGAGGTGGGTTTATTCAACAGTAGGTGGAGCCTGTTGATGCCAATCCAACTATAGGCTCGCCCCCTGATGTCACCGAGGGTCGTGCCATGGCCTCCCGCCAAGCAGGCATCGGACGGAATACACGACCGCCAGATTCCTTTAACGGAATAACCCACGGTAGATAGCATAGGCGATGGCCACACCTAGCCCTTGACACAGCACAACACATGAATCCAATGCCTAACCGCCACCCGAGCCACAAAGAGGCTCGCCGCCAATACCCTCACAGCTGCAACCAATCCCTAATGCTACTAATAACGCTGTCCAACCAGATGTCATCCCCAATGTCTGTTAGATGAACTCCGTCATTCCGGTACAAGGCTTGGTCGCCAATCCGGATACGGTCATGAGAGATGACTCGGCCATACAACAAGTGCACCCAACGGGCTATTGCACGATTCAAGAGTTTCCTGGATTTTTCAATGGCCATACAGTTCAAGAGTTTCCTGGATTTTTCAATGGCCATACAGTTCAAGAGTTTCCTGGATTTTTCAGTGGCCATACAGTTCAAGAGTTTCCTGGATTTTTCAATGGCCATACAGTTCTGCACACTGTGCCACACAACTCTCTTCAGGAAGGAGGACCAGAACACCGCTGTTCCGGGACACAAGGCAGCAATCTCATCCAAATCTCTTTTTATGTGCCACGACAAGTCCACACTTCTTCTGCTAACAAGGTCATATTCCCCTAATTGAAGGATAAGGATGTCAGGAGGGCCAAACGCGGCAACTCTCCCTCTCAGCAATGGCATAAGCAATGCCTCGTCTCGAAAACCAGGAAACTCGCACTCAGCAATGGCATAAGCAATGCCTCGTCTCGAAAACCAGGAAACTCGCACTCAGCAATGGCATAAGCAATGCCTCGTCTCGAAGACCAGGAAACTCGCACTCAGCAATGGCATAAAGAAATGCCTCGTCTCGAACCAGGAAACTCGCACTCAGCAATGGCATAAGCAATGCCTCGTCTCGAAAACCAGGAAACTCGCACTCCAGGTGGCAATCCAGGGTTAGGGGTGAGGCCACAGCTTACTGACCGTACGTGGGCCGAATGGACTATACCATGGCCACAAATCCAGACACTTCTGAGAACGGCTGAGAATAAAGGAAAGTAAAAAATTATGGATAAGTAGAGGTAAAGGAGCAGAGCGCATTCTAACGAGTGTAACCTTTATAAGCGTCGGATTTCCACCGGCCCATTTCCTTAATCTTATCCGCTGGCAGGCCCAAGCGTGCAGCTGTTGTGGCGGCGCCAATCCTGAATGAGTGTGCCGCATAATCCTGGGAAGATAAACCACAGGCATCAATAGCTTTGCGGAGTGCCCTTGTGAATTGGTGTCTCAACAAAGGTGACCCATCCCCGTGAACCAGGAGCAGGCCAGAACAGGGCGGTCCTGAGGTAAAGGTACCATCTAGTGTCCTTTACCGGGCATGGGCCCTGCCGCGCCGACACTGTAAGCTTAACTAGAACACCCATACCTGCCTGATCAGTTTTGGACTGACGTATCCGTACCGTCAAGCTAGATTCGGACCACTGCACGTCCTCCCTAAGGAGGGCGCGCGTTGAACCTCCTGCGCTAACTTCAACCACAGCTTCACCAACTCCCAGAGCGCCAAAAAGGCAATAGCGTACGCCGCGGAAAAGAGGCGGGCTTCCAACCTGGTCCAGCAAATTGACCTGAGCTTTATGCGTATCTGAGATAGCAACCCATAAGAAATTGGCTTACGGCCCTCGGCCCTGGGGGGTTGTAGCCTGCCCCAACCTGCAATAGCTCTGCGGATCAGGAAGTCACTACACGGATCGGAGGAAAATGTGGCTTTAGCAAAGAAGCTGATGGCGGCTACGTGTATCTTTAAGGTTTTGGGAGCACGTCCCAAATCGTCAAGATGGGAAAGGTACTGCAGAACATCATCAGTGGTGGGTGGCACGTTATGCGAAAGCCCAGATACCCCAGACCTGAAACCCAGGAAATCGCACCAGGCCTTCTTGTAAGACCTGAGACTTCGGACTTTTATCATAGCTAATGGTGGCGGCCACCCCAGAAAGCGCACAGGCTGTTCTGATTCTTCATCATGTCGCCCGTTTTCGACTTGCTCTTCTTACACACGTGCTTCTTCTTGGTACGTCTTTTGCCTGATGGATTGTCCCCCCTCAACTGTCTGAAGCTCCCCCTCCAGCTGCTGGGCTGCTTATTCTGCAAAGAAGCGGAAGAACTGGACGCAACAGGGTTATTGACACAGGCTGGCGGGCTCCGCACAGGCGACCCAATGCAGTTCTGAGGGCCAGAGGCCTAGTTTGCACTGCTGCAGTTACTGCCCGAGAGCTTGGGCCTGCGCCTGAGAACTGAAATTCGTTGAAGAGGGCGACAGCAGTGCCTGGGAGGTCATCAACCTGGGTGAGAGGTGGGCTCTCCGGAACCACCTGGCAATCTAGTATCATATCAGGGGTAGCAGCTGGGGGCATGGGGTTAGGGATTGCTCGAAAAATGCTGCTCATAATCATCAATGAATGATCTGAAGGCATTTAGGTAGTGTGAAATAGGTTTGGGGTTATTATCCCGTCCATGTGGCACCCATGCAGCCTGAGGTGTGAGCTGATTCCGCCACAGAGCACTTCCTCTTAGGTGCCATGGATAACGCACTAAAGCTACTGCCACAAACACGTGCTACTGTTTACAAGCGGTTGTACAGGCACATGTTATAGATTCTGAAACGAATGTACTAATTAACGATTGATTTACTTATAATAAATAACGATTTTTCCAAGTATTTGGTTAAATGTTCAATTGTTTATCCCAATTAGTATGTGCGTGTGTGTGTTATTTATTACTGTGTGTGTGTGTGTGTGTGTGTGTGTGTGTGTACGATGCTTCCTACTTCATATTATAATATCTCATTCAATATGCAGGGGTCCCATACAGGGATCAAACCAGCAACCTTGGCATTATCAGCACTATGCTCTAACCAGTTGAGCTATCCAGGCTCTCTAGAATTGTTTGGGACCCCGAGGGTCATTCAGTCCAACCCCTTGCAATGCAGGAATATGCAGTTGTTCCATACAGGGATCAAACCTGCAACCTTGGCATTATCAGCCCCATGCTCTAACCAGTTGAGCATTATCTGCCCCATGCTCTTACCAGTTGAGCTATCCAGGCTCTCTAGAATTGTGTGGGACCCCATGGGTCATTTAGTCCAACCCCTTGCAATGCAGGAATATGCAATTGTTCCATACAGGGATCGAACCTGCAACCTTGGCATTATTGTCACCACGATCTAAGCAACTGAGGGTTCCGAAATATATGTAAATTATTTATTATTCATTTTATTTTTATTATTATTAATTTTATTTGTCAATTTATACAT